CTGCCAGCTATAACACCATGTGCCCTCTGGTGTAACAGTGGCATGCAGGCTATGGGAGTAGCCAGCTGTTATCTGATTACGATATGAGGCCTGCTCCATAGAAGGGAAGATCATAGGCCCTGGGCAATGGGTTGGGTGGATGTGAATGACAACCTACAGCTGTTGTTTTAATAAATGGTCATGCTTTCAAACTGCATTCTAAATACTTATGTTTTTCCTCACATATGTGGGATGCTCTCACTGTGGTCAGAGAGGCTTCTTGAAGCAGTGCGCTGTGGTTGACTCATCACGGGTCTGTGTGCTGGGTATGTATAACTCTGAGTGCCAGCTGAGACAGACCAGCTGTATCAACCTCTGGCATCCAAGACTCAGGAGATGGTGACAGAAGGAGGTGGCCACGTCAGGCCCACAGGCCAGCAGCTCAGGCCACAGTTGCAGATGGGGAGCACTGTTAACAGCTAATTGGAATGTAGGGAGAAGGGCACCAGGGAGTACATGAGTCTTTCTAAAGGACAAGTCAGTTGCTATGCTTTCAGTCTCAAACATTCTCTTCCTCCAGCCACCCCCGCCCTGTGCCTCCTACCACTGTAGTTCCCCCTGCTCTTGTGTTGGTTTCAGAGATGTTCTGGGAAGCTGCCCTGACCTGCTGGCCTCCAGATTGGGTGATGGCAGCTCTGTACTGTTAGGATCCCTTCCTCAGCATTTTCTCCTGCTTCCTGGGAGAAGATTCTGGGCACTACTACCATCTCCATACTTAGCCTAGACCCAGACACAAGTGAGTGGCAGTAAATACTTGCCAAGTAAACCATTAGTGTCCGTCCTCCAAGTGCCCCACCAAGAACAGCTTTTTGCCAGGCAGTGGTAGCGCACGTCTTTAATTCCAGCACTTGGGAGGCAGAAGCAAGTGGATCTCTGATCTCTGTGAGTTTGAGACCAGCCTGGTCTACAAGAGCAAGTGCCAGGACAGCCTCCAAAGTCACAGAGAAACACTGTCTTGGAAAAACAACAACAATAACAAACAAACCCAACAAACAAACAAAAAACTTCTTGAACTTTCTGGTTACAATTTCTTAACATATCTTTATACATATCTCTGCCTAAAATGCCCTTCCCTGCCTTTCCTGCTCATGTAATCAGTATATACCCACTGTTTGTTTGTTTTAAACACATCTGACCAGGCTGGCCTCAAACTCCCTAGGCATGAGGATTGTCTCGCCTTCCTGGTTCTCCTGCCTCCACCCCACAGGTGCTGGGATTACAGGCATGTGCCACCATGTCTGATTTATGTGTGCTGTGGCTTCATACATATGAGACGAGCATTCCACCAACTAAACCCCACCCAGCCATTCATTCTTTAAGACCCATTACCTCTGTGAGCCCTTTTCTCTGTATCATGTTTCCCCCTCCTTCATCTCCCACTTATTCTCAAATCCTGCCCATTATATTTCAAATGTGTGCTTCTGTGTCTGTCATGCACATTAGACTGTGACTCTTCATTGGACCAGGATACCACTCTGGGGAGACAGGACTGGAATATAATTTAAAGCTTAAAAACTTCAAATAAAGCACCTGTATCCTATCATAAGTGTAGAAAGATTTAACAAACACACCATGCTCTGGAGTGGCCCAGAGTAGACTTCATTCAGCCCTACTTCTGCAAAATGCTCCCACTGGCCCACTTCCAAGTGAATTTCATAGTCAAACACATTTGAGAAATACCCCCTCCCCCATTGAGGTTCACAGCTCTCATTCATTTCTTGATTTACCTAGTTTACATATCCTTATTTTTTTTGTTGCCACCAGGATTGAAATGAAGGCCTCATGCATATTAGACAAATGCTGTCTACCTCTGAGATATACCCAGCCCTACTTTATACCTATTTAATGAGCATCCTCTGTGTGCTAGCCCTGTGTTCAGTGCCAAGGCATGCCTGGTCCACTTAGTTGGGCTTTAGGAAGAATTTTTGCCCTGCGGCTTTAAACTTTACTGGTTTACAGGTCTCAGTTCTCAAGGGATGCAATGGTGGCTCAATCTTTTGTACACTGTGAAGGTGTGTCACTCTGATTGGTTTAATAAAGAGCTGAACAGCCAATAGCCAGGCAGGATTTCCAAGCATAGAGGATGCTGGGAAGAAGAAAGGCGGAGTCTCAAGTAGACACTGAGAAAGTGTGACATGTAGGAGATGAGGTAACAAGCCATAAGCCACATGGCAACATGTAAATTAATAGAAATGGGTTCATTTAAGTTATAAGAGCCAGTTAGAAACAAGCCTAAGCTATTGGCTGAGTTTTCATAATAAGAAGTCTCTGTGTAATTATTTGAAAGCTGGCTGGTGGAACAGAGAAAGACTCGCTACTGAGCTTAACATGGAGGAGAGCACTATACAGGCTGGAGTGACTGTCACTGGTTGCACGGCTAACTGGGTTGCTGCTATAAAGTCAGGCAAAGGAACCACTATGTAGAACCCAGAGGTACTCCTACATTCCTTAACACTTCCATTGCTGGTAGAAACTTAACAAAAATATAGCCAACCAACTGAATATCGAGAGTGTTTCTGTTTGGACTTTTTGGCAGGTCTTGTCAGGATTCAGACCCTTTGTAAATGACAGTTTACATCACCTTGCCAGGTTTCAAAGCTAATAGGACGTGGAAGTGGAAGAAAGAAGTCATAAATACCATCTTCAGCTTCAGGACCAGTCACAGATGCAGCAGTGGCAGTTTCTTGCCCTTGCTCCTAAGTGTGGGTTTATCTGTGTCTCGGCCCTGCTCTTCCTGTGCACTCCCCTAGGCACGCACACATTCAGCTCCATGCACTTGTTTCAGAGAGGGATTTATGGACAGCAGCTGACTGGCTATAGATCCTTCAGGCAGGACTGATTAGAAGTTAATGTTAGTTGAACTCGGAGTCCAGGGTTTTTCGACTTCTGTGTCCCCAGGTGGGGAGAAGGTGCCCGTACCTGTATTTCTAGAAAGGACAGTTCAGCTTGTTGACAGCATGTGCTAGCCCTGTGTTCCATGCCAACAGGACACATCTTTATTGGGAAGTTCTAACATCTGTAGAAGAGCTCACCTGCTCAGGGGCATTGTGAAGGAGAACTGGGCCAGGCAGGAGTTACTGCTGTTCAGCTCTGCTCTGTGTGTGTGGCCGGAGCACTGCCTAAGCTCATTCATGTTCTGCTCTGTGTGTGGGGAGCACAGCAGTGGAGGCACACTGGTGCTCTGCTCTGTGTGGGGAACACACCACACGGGGGACGACAGCAGAAGCACTTTTGTGCTTTGCCAGCAGTGCTCTGACTCCTTTCTGGTTTGTTTGCTGTTTGTACTAGTGTTGCTTAGCAGTGACATTTCACACCAGTGCCCTTTTTCCTACACTTCCAGAAACAGCATCATTACACTCTTCCAAAACTCCACTGGGCAGTGTCCCCTGGGAGCCCAGCTGCAATCTAACAAAGCCCCCTTATCAGAGCCCTAGGCTACAGCTCCTTAGTACCTCCACTCACTTCCTGTGATCCCCACTGTTGTCTTTTGCCCTAGGCCAGGAGGTGGGGCTGCTTCATATGTGACTTTCTCTACTGCCCCAGTGTCCTCTTGGAGCTTTCTCAGTACTAGCCTTTTAGCCAAGCTCCTGACAGCTACTTCTTCCTATTTTCTTGACCACTCTTCAATACAAGTGGTGGTGAGAGTTCCTTCTCCATGCACCCAATGACCATTAAGCAAATTATGAAAGAAATGGGTATTTACAGTGGAAGTGAATGTGGGAGGGACATTAGCATTTGATAGGCCCTTTGGGAAATGGAAGGTAGCTTTCTGCAGCTCACTTGGTCCACGTACAGCATCCACATAAGAAGGGGCATCACTGGAAACAGGAGTCTGTGCCCCTGAATCTCAGCATTTGGCATGTTCCTTTCAAAGAAGGTCTAGATTCTAGCCTTGGGACCAGCAGATGGTTCCTGGCTCTTATGCCAGTCCCATAGGCAACATTATGACATCCCCACTGATGAGTGAAGTCCCAATGCGAAGGGGATGCTGTCCACTGCCATGAGCCATTCTGTTCCACTCGGTATGTCCTCACCACAGAGCAGTTCCTCTCCACAGAGGCTGTAAATCCCTTAAAAGTATATGTGGCTCTCTCTCTCTCTCTCTCTCTCTCTCTCTCTCTCTCTCTCTCGCTCTCTCTCTGTGTGTGTGTGTGTAGCTACGTGTGCATGTCTCTGAGAAGGTCCATAGCTGTTGTTACCTTAGTGGGACTATGACTCCAGAAAAACAACTGTGACCCCATGAATTATAGGAAACATCCATACTTTTATTTGTACATTGTCTCCTCAGAGTCAAGTTACTATGAAGTCTTTTCAGCTTTGGGGGTAACTCACTAAAATGAAGTTCTGCTAGCTAGCCTTCCTGGACTACATGGAGTCACTTCTCTTTGGCCATGCCTATGTTTTCTCTCTGATTGACAAGCTCCTTCCCCCTGTCCAAGGTCAATTCCTAGGTGCTGGTTGAGATGCCATGTTCTTTTTAAAACCTTTGATACCTTGGTTCTGGACTGGGGACCCTAAACCACCCCTTCATGGTGCCACCACCCCTTCACTTCTAGGGCCATGTCTTCCTTTTGATGGCCTTGTCCATGATGCAGTCAACTCTCTGTAGTCATCTCTACTGCTTAGTGGAGCATCAGCTCCAGCAGAAAGAGGCCAGGGTCTAGCTTATCTCTGCTATAGCCAGCACCAGGCTGGGCATCTAGAACACACACAGTAGGAGTCCACTAACATAGACAAAGGGATGCACACAAAAAGCAGTGCTTTAATCTTCTAGCAGTACACTTCAGTGCTGTCACAGTTAAACTAGGAAGTCCTTGCTCTCACTCTGTGGCCATACGCAGACCAAGGAGACATCTGGATAACCCTTATTTCTCTCTTTCTTAATAGAGTCACACACACACGTGTGTGGTTATCCCTGCAGGTAAAGAGAAAGTGTGTCCATGGTGTCAGCATACACATACCTGCATTTCTCAGAAAGCGGTTCAGATAATCCTTGATGACCCTGGTGGTGGGGTTATAGAAGCCATCTCCACAGTCATAGCAGCCTGGGGGGATTTTTCTCGGTGGGTCCATATTGGTGAGCCGAGAGATGCCTGAGGAGGCACAAAGGACAGTTATTACCAAGGTATTGCCAAGGCCAAGTGCACCCCTGGCTGCTGTTCATGTGTCTGTGGGACCAAAGGCTGCTTTTGCAGGGCCAAGAGCAAAAGTCAGCAGGAACAGGGTCCAGGGAGCTTTTGCAACATGGGCTGTGGACAGGGATTTGGGAACTGGACCCCTGCCTTCTCTGACCTAGCCCATATTCATTTCTTGGGACACCATGATGAAGTTCTGAAGTCAAAGAAAACCTGAGGGTGAGTCAGAGATGTCCAAGGGGATAGAACCAAGAGAGGGGGTAGCCAGCGTGTGATCAGAGGCCGCAGGTATGAGCCGTTGGCCATACTCCAGGAAACCTGATAGCAGAATCTAGATGAGGGAGGGCACCAGAAAAGGGTAGACAGAGCACTGCACCTGGACTTCCTCCTAAATGGCCACAGTGATGCCATTCACTGTTTCTTGTGTGCTAGACATTTGGCTCCTCCTATCTCAGGTAACCCTCAGAGTAGCCCTATCTTACAGAGAAGAGAACTCGTATCAGAGGTTGAGGAACGGACCCAATGCTAGCTAGCTAGGAAGCAGCCAGGCTCTGAAGTTTAAGCTAAGTAATTCGAGGGAAGGGATGGGTCTGAGTCCGACCCCTAAGTCAGGGGCGCTGGGACACCAGGAAAGAAGGAAGAAAAGCATATAGACATTTTAGGTCTTGGAATGCCATGGCTGGAGTAAAGGGAGATGCTGGAATGTTCTTTTTAGTTGTAAATCTTGAATTTGCCTTTCTCTGAGTAGAAAGCCAAATGCTCACCATGCCATGCCTGCAGGTCTGCATCCCCGAAAAGAAAATGCTCAAACGTTGTCTAATTATATACTTGACCTTGACCCTAACCAAAACACATGCACATTGGCAATGATTACTGAATGCCTTTCCCATGCCAATGGCTCTGATGCCATTCTGTGGCTGAAACCTCAGGCCAGTTGCCACCTTTGAGATGCTTGGAGAAGTCAAGGTCACCCTTAACTGTCTTAGTTTTCTCCTCTGTGAAGCAGAACAGGGAAGAGTGACCAGATGGGGCACCCTGGGCAATCCAAGAGACAAGACAAGGATTGGAGGGAGCCAGCCCAGAGAGCACATGTCCCATCAAATTCTCCCCTGCTTTCCAAACCTCTCAAGCTCTAATGCTTACATATTTTTAGCATGACAGCTGTCATGTGCCATGCACCTGACATGCATGCAAAGCTCTATTCCAGGTGAGAATTTTCTTATTGCCAATAGACTTGCAAGGCAGAAAACATTGCTTCCCTGATTTAGATGGGGAAAGCTGAGGCACAGTGAAATGGAGTCTCTTCCCCTTGGCCAGCCTTGAGAAGGTCAGTGGGTACCAGGCACTCATTTCAAGCACCTTTGGTCTCCCTCTCAGTATGGGTGTGCTACCTGAGGGTTTCAGGCCGTAGCAGATCTCGGTGTAGAACCTCCGGTCATAACTGTCGCAGTAGTGCCAGTGTTTGTCCTCATATTGTAGCCCATCAGCAAAGGTATACTTGCCCTGGGAAAGAAGAAGCCTTTTAGGCTACACAGGCTGCTATCAAGGGAACAGTTGGCTTCTCACTGCTTCAGGAAAGAAGTGACAACAGTCACACAATGACCATGGTTGTGAGCATTAAGGGAGATGGAGATACAGCATCTAACCTGTGTATGACACAGAAAGCATGGGGACTGCATAGACCTGGGCAGGCAGCCTGCTTTTGGCTCTCAGGTTCCTCAATTATAGGATTAGGATGATGACAGTGACCCTCTAATAGGAATGGCTGGGGATTTGGTGAGATAGATACATGCCAAGATTAGCTGGGAGGTGAGCATGCATGCTCACCTGTGTGAGCATGCATGTGTGTGTGTGTGTGTGTGTGTGTGTGTTTCCCAAAGAGATTAGCATTTTAGTCAATGGGCTGAGTATAGAGACCACCCTCACGAATACAGATGGGCACTGTCTGACCTGTTAAAGGCCTGATCAGAACACAGGATAGAGGAAGGACCATTGTGCTGTCAGCTGTGCTGGGAAACCCATTTCCTTCTGGCCTTGGGCATCAGCATACCTGTTCTCTGTCTGGGACTCACCCACTGCCTCTCTAGGCTCTCAGCCTGTCAGCTTGGACAGGAACTACAGGTGTGGCTTCCCCTGGACCTCCAGCTTGCAAAGGAGACTCTGTGGTCCAACTTCCATTATCTTGTGAGCCAAACTTTCATAATCTCTTTCTGTATATCAGTCGGTGCCCTCCTGATCACCCTTCTCGGAGTACTCTAATACCCATGGAAGAAACACTTGCACATATTGTTCTTCCTTTTATTATTATTGTAGCTAGAAAGTCCAGAGCCAGGAGTCACAGCCTGCTGTCAAGACATGTGCATTCTGTTCTTGCTGCTCAGAGCTAAAGGGAGCCTCAGGATGTATGAGCACATCAGCCTAGGCATCGGAAACATGGGTGGAAATTCCCACAATACTATTTGTTCACTGTGTGACCTTGGGCAAGTCACATCCCCTTCCTGAGGCTTAGAATCTCCAAGCTATAAAAGAAGAAGCATTTCTTAACCTTTTTTTAGGTCATGAGTCAGGCCCAGTAAATGCTCAGGGAAACTCAGGAGAGCACAGAATCATTTCCCATAGAAAAATATAGCTCCATATCCACAGAGGCTTTTGTGTGTATAAATCAGGGGGTTCTACTGACACCTATTCATAAACCTCAAGATCAGAATCTTTGGATTAGATGACTTAGTAGAGGTGGCAATAGTAAAAGCTGACACTTACTGAGTGCCTATTATGTGTTAGGAAATGACTGAGAACGCACACCTGTCCCCTTATTTACTGTCAGCACCATGTGATAGATTGAGTTATGCCATCCCACCCTATTCCCCCAAAGCTGACCACACCTGCTGTTACCTGCATAATTTTTTAAAAAGAACTTTTCTAGAATCACCCAATGTGAGAGTCCTTATAAGAGAAGTAGACAGGTCCAGGTGAGAAGACAAGACGACAGGAGCAGGGGGAGGAGGAGTGACTTGGAGCTGTAAGCAGAGATTGAAGTGATACCTAGTCCTGAGTCAAGAAATGCAGGCAGCTTCTGGAAGGTAGAAAAAAATGTGAGGAAACAGATTCTCCCCTGGAGTCTGCCTGCTTGCCCTGGTCAGACTTCTAGCCCCTAGAATCAAGATCATGGTGAATGGAGGCTGACTTAAAAACTGAGGGGAAACCACCACAACAGCATCAGAGACAAAGATGGCTGTCTCTAGTTTAAAACTGAGGAGCATGGGCCAGTGGTGGTGGCGTACGCCTTTAATTCCAGCCCTCAGGAGGCAGAGGCAGGGGAGTATCTGTGAGTTCAAGGCCAGCCTGGTCTATATATAGCTCCTGGTCTATATATAGAGCTCCAGGACAGCTAGACTGTTACACAGAGAAACCCTATCTCACAAAACTCTCTCTCTCTCTCTCTCTCTCTCTCTCTCTCTCTCTCTCTCTCTCTCTCTGTCTCTTTGTCTTTCTCTCTCATGAATTTCAGAGATGTAGAGTCATTGGCCAAAGATCAGTTGGTAAATGGCACAGCAGGATGGAGGAGATCCTAGAGTCCTTGGAGAATGAGAAGTAGGGAAAGGAGAGAATGGAAAGAGGTAAGCAACAGGCAAGGAGGCTAAGGTGCTACAGCAGGTGGTGGGGTTCTTCCTCCCTGAGGACCTCCTGCAAGCCGCTGCTGATCACCTTCACTGCCAATCCTTTCTCCCAGGTGGCATCGAATCGGCTCCCACTGGGGAAGAACAGGGTTCCTTCTCCATGGAACATGCCGTCCTTCATGTTCCCAACATATCTTGTGTCAGTAGGGAGAATGTACTCCGCACTGCCCTCCATCCTGTAAGGACATGGGGAAGTCAATGAGCTCTGCATGGCAGCTAGGAAGACACTCACTCTACATCTTCAGATGTCATCATCCCTCAATATTCTGCAGAGCTTCTGAGGTGCTTTGTTTTCATTAACCACCCCCACCCCCCACCCCTGCAAAAAAAGTTTAAGATGGGGCAGCCATCTGTCTGTCATCCTCCCTGCCCCTGCAGGCTGTCCTGGAGTTTATGCTGTTCACTAGGCCCAGAGAAGGTTGCAGGCTGTGTCAAAGCCATACAGCAGAAACTGCAGAGACCAGCAGTTCAGGCAGCTGGTTCTGAGTCCACTATGACCAGTCAGCTTTACCCATTAAGCAAATCCTTGTTCTGTTAGCTACATAAATCATTCTGCACCTTACCTTCCTTTTCTCACTTGTCAAATGGGGATCACTGTAAGGAGGAATAATGCATGGTGGCTGCCATAAAATGTGGATGGTCTTTCTTCATTCTCTGTGTTCTCAAGTACAGTTATCTAGAACTCAACTGTGCTGCACTTTCAGAGAAATCATGATCATGAGGTCAGAGAGACCTTTTTTTAACAGGGACTCACTGTAGCCCATGCTGATCTGGAACTCATGTAGCTCAGACTGGCTTGAACCCATGTCAGTCGTCCTGCCTGAGCCTCTCAAATGCTGAGCCAATAGGTATAAGCCACTATACCGGGCTTTTCATTTTTATATTTAGATATGGTACAAGCAAATCATGAATTTTAATGTTTTGTTAAAACAGCTGTATTTATGAAGCATAATTGACATACAAAACTAAATACATACAATTTGTGAGTCTTGACACACATCCTGGAATCTGTCATCCTACTCAATACAATTAATATATCCACCCCCCCAGGGACTGCATACTCTTTCTTTAATCTTTCTTGTTTGTCCTTTGCATTCCTCATCCCTAAGCAAATACTAATCAATTTTCTGTGACCATGAATTGATTTATGTTTCTCATAATTTTATATAAAAATATCATAATATGCACTCCTTTGGGGGGGACTTCTGATTTCCTTTATTCAGTATAATTCTTCTGAGATTCACTCATGTTACTGTTATGTGAACCAACATTTATTTGAATTGCTGTGTACTATTCCAGTGAATGGTTATACCACATTTGTTTGTTCACTCGAATGTTGGTGAATGTTTGGTTGATTCCAATCTTCAGTTATTACAAAGTTTCAGTTATATAAGAGCTGTTGGAGCAATCATAAACATGCCTTTGTGTGGTCATTTATTTTCATGTATCAGGATAATGCTTAGGAGTAAAATGGCTGTCTTACTTCAATGGGGAGTCTACATAAACCAAGTAAGTATTAACTTACTCAATATAAGAAGCTATTCTAGTCATTTAAAATCTAAAAGGAAATTGCCTCCTCTCAGACCAAAAAAGAAAAAATAACCTACTGGTTATCTCTCACATGAAAGTGACGTCCATATGTGTCCTGTTACATATCCCTTTGACCTCTCCTCTGGGGTGTGCATTATTTCCCCGCTTTAAAGATTAGGAAATTAAGGTCCGCCTCAGGCCAAAGGCTGTTTTCTTCACAGTATAGTTTCTCTCATCACATGCTGGACTTTAAGTAGCCCCAAGGATGACTTAGTTGCCTCTTGCTAAAAATCAAGATTCAGGCAGAGTTCATGGCAGAACTATGAAAAGGAGTATAGTCAGCAAAACAACTGTCTTCTTGTGGGTTGTGGGTAATTGAGAGGCTTTCTTCAGGTCTGGGTTTCAGTACTGTGGCTACAGCAGTACCAAAAAAACAAAAAAAAACAAAAAAAACAAGCAAAGACATTTCTTGGGATGAGGCAGGAGGATAGCAGGTGTAGGACAGACATGTGAAAATGCACAGAAGGCCTTCTGTTGGTGTCTGACTGTCTCACTGACTTCATGTGCATAACCCATCATAAAGATGTGTGTGGGTTTTCCAGTTTCTGTGCCTAAAATACCCAATCCTTCATCTCCACCTGACAAAACTTTTGCTGTAACAAAGCCTTATGGGAAGAATTGATGTGGTTTAGACACAGAACTGGGTATAAATTCTTAAGTCTGCCACTTCTTAGCTGTGTATCCATAATAGTGAGCATACTGTTTTGCTTAAGTTCAACCATTTATTTTCAAGATCAGTCTGGACTTTCTCGGTGTCATGGAAGTGTTGCACCCAGCATCTCTGCCACTTCCTGAAGAGTTCCATAAAGGTCTCAAGTCCTCTAAGGCTCCCTTTCCTCCTTTACCATGTCCCTTGCAAAGTTGATTAAAGATTTGAGGCAGCATCCCATATGTATTCTTATCTATCCCTGTGCTTGGCTAGACCATTGCTCCCACTGAGTCAAACTCAAAACGCCCTGTATATATCTTCTAGCCTGTACACACAGACCCTCCAAAATCAGACCTTTAATCTCTTCATCTCCACAGGCCCATCGGCCACCTCCACACGTCCTCTGCCTCTCTTACTCACAGTGCTCTCTTTGATTACTTGTCTTAACTGTTAAGCTTACTTGCCCACTGTGTTTGCATGAGCTTTTTGAAGGCAGGGATTACAAACAGCATTTGTTGAATAGCATTTCCTATTTTCTTTTGTGTGCACCATTTTTTAAATATATATTTTTATTTTTTAATGTGTGTGAGCGTTTTGCTTACATGTATGTATATGCACCACGTGTGTGCCTGGTTCCTACAGAGGCCAGAAGAGGAACTTTGGTTATAGATGGTCGTGAGCCACCATGTGAGTGCTGGGACACACACACACCGCACAATAAATAGAATTAATGAATCCCACCTATGCGGCTTATTAGATACATGTACATGAACATGTTAGTAGAACAAGCGTTTGAAAGCGCTTGGCACAAAGCCCGTGGCAGAGGCCAAAAGGCAGCTGTCTTTCTGCAGCCCGGGAGTGGACAGGCAGACGAATGGTTCCTTACCTCCTGTTTACGTATGACCCGACATATTTGCTCCCGGTGTACTGCATGTCAGCGGCTAGTGTCTAGCAGTTAGATACCAACTTCAGCGGCCTCAGTGTCACTATGACAACCAGGAGGTATGGGCGGAGCTCAAAAGAAGCCACGCCCCGCGAGCGCGCTTGACTTCCTGGAATGGCGTACTCTGGTCTCCTCCAGCGGTCGCAGAGCATTGCGCCTGCGCGCCGCTAGAGACGCATGCGCAAATGGTACAGGGCAGCCTGGGCGACCCAGAGGGGAATTGAAGGAGACCGGCCGAGGACGCCAGGGGCAGGGTCGCGTCTGCCGCGGTCATGCCGGGAATAGTGGAGTTGCCCACTCTGGAAGAGCTGAAAGTGGAGGAGGTGAGGCTCGCCCTGAGGGCAGGCGGGAGGCCCGGGGCTGCAGCTGCCAGGCGGGCCGGAGTTCGGGCCCGGCCTCTGCGACCTGCGCGATCCCATCCCGCCATGGCTTCAAGCACCCAGGCCCCCACCGTGAACTAACAGCATCACCTAGCCCTTTGCTGTACCTCCCCGCGAGGCGAGTATGCCTTCCCAGGTGCTCACCTCCCGCCGAGTCTGTCAAAATCTCGGTACAAAGCAGGCCCTGGGTCGCGCGGCAGCAAACAGTGCGTGTTGGACATTGAGGCATGAGGCAGGCATGGGCCAGGGAGTTTGGTAACAGGATACATTTAAAGCATTTACTTCTTCGAGAGACATTTAAATATTTGTTATGTTCACATGCAACGAAAATTAAGGGACAATGTTCTGCTTTCGTGGTTTTCAGTTGAATAAGGAGATAGGTAAAGAGGCTGTACAGCACAGTGCAGCTAGTGGTGTGAGAAGTGAAGTACGAGTGATGTTATTGTAATGATTGCAAACATGATCAAGCCGCTGCTAAGTACTTGGGACACACAGTAAGGTGGTCTTCCCCTGTAGACCAGAAGTAGGACCCTGAGAGTAGAAGTGATTTGCCCAAGGTCAGATACAGTGTGTGGAAGAGTTGGAATGGGGAACCCAGATCTGTTCTGAAGCCTAGGCTGTTAAAAGCTATGAGCTGAGGTGCAGTAGAGTCAGAAAGGAAGCGTAGACAATGTGCGTAGAGAAAGCCAGAGCTGTTTGATGTCAGTCTCGTGTTAGTGGTGGTGAAGTCACCGACGAGGCCAGAGCCGTTTGGACTTGATTCTGTGAGATGGTGGGGGAAGGTAGATGTCGTAAGGCAGAAGACTGTCAGGGCAGGACTGGATATAAATAAAACAGACAGGCAAGACTGAAAATTGTATGCTGGCAGGTACCCACCAGGTGCTGTTAAAGTGTTTTTCCCACATTACTTCCTGTAGTCTCTTACAAACCTGTGCAGGTGGCAACTGTTATTTTCCTCAGATAAAGAAATTATTAGCTGTATTCATGGTATGAGGACATTTACTAAGAGGTGACAAGGGATGTTCCCATGAGCCAGCTTTTTATTTTTATCCCATCATAAAGCTAGTTAAACATGAGTTGACATGTTTTTTTGTTAGATTTTTAATTAGCTCAGCAAACATTTCATGCAAGAGTGTTCTAATATATTTTTCTTTAAAGTATGAACGATGTCTATAATTATGCAAATAACTAAAGTGGAAAAAAAAGACACGATTAAATTTATGAGAAACAGGCAGGCACGGGTTAAGGAGAAAGTACAATTTGATGTTGGATCCGAATTCTAGGCCTAACTACTGTGTCACTTTGAGTAACTTTTAGCACTTGTAGACAAGGGTGTTTTGCTTGCAAGAGGAGGCGCCTCTAACTGTCCTCTATGAAGACATAAAAAGGATGGAGAGACCAAGAGTTAGCTTAATGTGAAACACAGTATTTGAAGGCTGATGTTTTACGGGTAGGGATGCAGAGAAAAACTGAGTGGTGGGAGAAGGAAGTTAATAAAGATTAGGTAATGGGGAAGCGGAGACTAACAGTGGATCCTGGGGGCATGGAGTGGAGCACAGCAGAGCGCAGCAGCATAGCCCCTTGTGAGGTCTGCTGAGAAGGCTGGAAAGATAGGTTGTGCCTAGGAAGCCTTAAACAGCAAACAGGAAGTTCACGTTTTACTCTGCTGCTAAGCATGACTCCTTTGGGGAGTTGGATTCTGATTTGTTGTGGCAGTAGAGTGAAATAAGAATTCCTTTAGGAAGGTCACTGAGGCAACTTTATGGAGACTAGATTGAAGAGTAAGAAACTCAGGAAGACTTCAATGGATGTTAAAATAACTAAGAAACTGTGTGGGTGAGTTGGGCTAGCCAGTGGCAGCACTGCAGTAGGCGGCTGCAGCTCCATGCTGAGAGGACAGGAGTTTAGACCTGTCTCAGGTAGAATATTTAGTCATTTAACCAGAAGTGGTATTTTTTACATGCAATGCATGCAGTGAATCAGTGAGGAAACACAGGTGGAAAAGCTCGCATTTGCTTGCCGAAACTGTGAGTGTCGTTCTCTCGTATTGACTGGGGGAAAGATTTCTGGGGTGATGGCTGTAAAAGCCATGTGAAGTCCATCAGTGAAGGTCAGAAGTGTGGAGGCAAAGACTGTGAAGCCAAGACCCTCAAAGTTGATGAAAGCAGTAGGTGTGGATTCAGAAAATTAATGAATTAATAAAGAAACCCAACTTCTGCAGCAAATCGGTGCTTTTGACAATGTTCCCAGAAAAAAAGGCAAAGTTTCAGAATTGGAGGAGCAGCCTGAAAGTGCACAGTAACTTTGTTGTGGAAAAGGTGTGAAACATCTCTGAAGCCTTCAACAGTGAGCAAGATCAGCAACCAGCTTTGAAAACAAATGGCACCAGGGAAGAATAAAAGAGAAAGGAAGGAGGGACAACAGAAGAATAGGAAGAAAGAGCTGAAAGTTAGGAAAACCTGAGGCCCAGAAGCCACACAAGTGCAAAACGGGCCAGGAGGTTGGACATGAGGCTGCTGGGGAGGAGACCACCGAGGCCAATGGCCCACCAGAAAAGAAGAGGGCCTGGGATGGGCAGGCCTCAGAAACGGGCCCAGCGAAGATGGTGATGAGGGACAGACCAAGAGAGGGGCAAGAAAACAGAAGCAGCGAAAACACTCAGAAGAAAAAAGATGATGTTGCCAGGACAGCCTGAGGAGGGAGAGTCCAAGGACCTTGAGGTTCCAGTGAAAGGGAAATCCAAGTGGAAGGAACCATTAAAGCTGTTCTGAGTCAGGCTTCAGACGAGATGTCAATCAAAAAGTTGAAGAAAAAAGTTATAGCCCAGTCCCATGTAGTGATGAGCAACCATCACATGTCAGAGGAGGAGCTCCTGGCCACCTTCAACAAGAAAATTAGCAAGAACCCACCTTTAAGGCACTGAAGGACAGAGTGAAGAATCTGATGTGAGCACTTTGTTGCATCACACCCTTCTGTTGACTGCTTTCCTCTACTGTTTGTAAAGTGTGTAATGAGTTATAACAAATTAAATCTTGCCTTCTGGAACTGTATTCTAAGTTAGGGAAAACAGCTTCTGGGAGCAGATAGGACGCAGTCTGGGCTTTATGACTTAAGAGTCGAGTCACAGCCCTATGGGGACAAACATCAGAAGCTTTGGGTAAAAATGCCCATGGGGTGGCAGAGAGACAGCTCAGCAGTTAAGAGAACTGCCTGCTCTTCCAGAGACCCTGAGTTCAGTTCCCAGCAACCACATGGCAGCTCACACCTGTCCAGTTCTAGAGGGTCTGAAGCTTTCACACCAATGCACATAAAATAATAAAGTTAAATAAATTATATTTAAAAAGTACCAGCTGGGCAGAAGTGGCACACTCTTTAATCCCAGCACTTTGGAGGTAGAGGCAGACAGATCTCCAGGTTCGAGACCAGTCTGGTCTACAGAGTTTCCTGGACAACCAGGGCTACACAGAGAAACCTTGTCTCAAAAAAAAAAAAACCCAAAACAACCAAACAAATTTTAAAAAATCCCAAAACAACAACAAAAATATTCCTCGGTATGTTGATAATTTTCCCAAAACAACCAAACAAACTTTAAAAAATCCCAAAACAACAACAAAAATATTCCTCGGTATGTTGATAATTTTGAACAAAATTAAGCCGCAGCCAGTACTGATACAGTTGATGTGTCAGGTACATTCTTAGCATTTTTACAGGTTTGAGTTCATTAGATGCTCCCATGAAATAAGTGTATCATGCTCCATTTTACATAAACAAGCAATAGGCCTGCTCTGCCATAAGTGAAGTACTAAGAAGGGTGGGGGCGTGGTTTGTAGGAGCAGTACCAGCTCTGGGAGGTATGGAGGCTTTGCTGTGACTGTGTCTGTGGAAACCTGCAGCACAGAGTGACCGTGAGAGATGATGAGGAAAGGTGCTGAAATTCTGTGTTCTGGGGACAAAAGGGTGCTGGATGAACTTGGGAGGGGACTGTTGGACTTCTTCAGCTGTAAAGAAGCAGGTGAGGGCACACGGTTATATCTCAAGTTCTCCATGTTCTCTGTGATTGTACTGCCATGTCACAGGCCTAAGGAGAGGCCACAGTGTCTGGGTTCCAGTTCTGAGGATGGCTGGCATCTGTTTATTCACTGTTTAGGAATTGGCTCAGGAAATGTGTCTCACCTTTGTTTCCCTATGACAGCATGAATATACCTTCATTTTGATAAGACTGCCGCCTGTGTAGGGAAATTAAGCAACCAGTGCTACTGCAGGCTTTTGAAGGGCTGCTGTCGTGAGGATTCAGTAATCAAACTAGCCATTTAAGGATATTTTGCTTTGGGCTGCTGTCGTGAGGATTCAGTAATCAAACTAGCCATTTAAGGATATTTTTGAGGTATTTGGCAAGCAAGTAAAATGGTGCTCAGTTTTTTATTTAAAAATTTTTTAAGATTTACTTATTTTATGTGTATGAGTGCTTTGCCTGAATGTATGTGTACCACATTTATGTTTGGTTATCTTGGGTGCCAGAAGATGGCATCAGATAGAAACCCCTGGAACTGTTTGTGAGCCAACATGTGAGTGCTAAGAATTAAACCCAGGTCTGCTGGAAAAGCAGTAAGTGCTCTAAAGCGCTGAAACTCAAGCTTTAGAATGTAGTGACCTTAAAACAAAACAAAACAAAACTGTGCAGCCAGAATAGTAGTACATGGTAGTAATCCAGCTCTAGGGAGACTGAGAGTAAGAGGCCAGCCTGGG